GGGTTGTAGTTTGATGATACCCCAGAGGGGCTCCAGTGTGGAGTGGGAGATAACAAGTAGGTTGTGTGGTCGAGTCAGTATAGAAAGAGAAACTGTGTCAGCTAGGGGTGTGTGGTTATGTTGGTATAGACAGAGAAGCAGTTCAGAGGAAATAGAAGCACAGAGACAGCAGCCCACTCCGCTGCACATGTCTGAATGCATTGCATGCCAGGCATGCCAGTAACTGCATCCTGCCTGTAATCTGACTCTCCATTTTAAAAATAAATAGCTTGGTCAAGTCCGGGTTGGAGCATTCCCACTCAGAAGGGAATGCCATAGTCCTTATTTATCAGCTGCTTAAATAAGCACATTGCTCTGACTCAGCTGCATACATTTGTGTGAATAATTAGAAGTGCCGATGTTCCACATGGTTTCCTGAATTATTTGTCATTTTCACATGGGCTGTATGTGCAAAAGATAGAATAGCTAATTAATGGGAACATCAGATTTGGTTAAAAATATTCTCACTATGTATATATTAGAGCATGTTCCCTGAAACTTCATGAATGGAAAACTGGTCTTAAAATCTATTTTTTTTTTCTTAAACTCGAAATCCAGAAGATTGAACAAGAAATGCACGTTCTTTTAAAGAAAAGAATTTGCAGAAGCCAGGATAACGCAGTGCATGGAAAACATGAATGCGGATCAGGAGACCTGTGTTCTGTTCTGGGCTCTGCCACAGACTTCCTGTGTGACATTGGGCAAATCACTTAATTGCTCGGTGCCTCAGTTTCCCCATCTGTAAAATGGGAATGATTTTAATACTTCACCACCTCTGTAAAGTGCGTTGAGATTTGTGGATGAAAAGTGCTATGTATTATCATTCACTCTATTAGTATATCTTGCAGTGTTGTTATAGCTGTGTTGCTCCCAGAATATTAGCAAGACAAGGTGGGTGAGGTACTATCTTTTATTGGACCAACTTCTGTTGGTGAGAGACACAAACTTTCAAGCTTACACAGAGCTCTTCTTCAGATCTGGGAAACTAAGGCTATGTCTACACTAGAGACCTTACAGTGTCATAGCTGTACTGATGCAGCTGCGCGGCTATACGATCTCTCGTGTATAGCCTCGTGTATCTCCGGTGAAACTTATGTCGCTCCAGGAGGTGCTTTTTCACACTCCTGGCCAACATATGTTTTGCCAACATAAGTGGTAGTGTAGACATGGCCTAACTCAGTGTCACTGCTAAACACAAGGTTTGAACAGATTGTTTAGATTGTTGCCCCCATAGCAACTATGTAGGTGAAGCCAGACAATCACTATGCTCTCAAATGAACTCACACAGGAAAATGATAGACAGAAATACCATATCACTTGTGGGTGAACACTTCACAAAGCGATCATGCGATATCTGACCTATCAAACCTCACCCTCAAATTGAACCTGCAGGACACTTTCAAAAGATGAGCCTGGGAGCTTAAATTCGTAACTTTGCTAGACACTAAAAATCATGGACTGAACAGAGACACTGGATTTATGGTGTATTACAACAACCTGTAACCCACTAGCAGCCGCCCCTCCCATCTGCGTCCACCTCCCCTTTCCTCCCTATGACTGGAGGAGTGTTAGCGGGCCATGTCACCTTGAATGTCCCTTGAAATATGAGAAGCCTCCCTGTCCACTTAGCACTGTCACTAACCACCGGAAGTTAGATCAACGTAACTGTGTTGCTCAGGGGAGTGGATGTCTGAGTGACATAGTTATAGTGACATAAGTTTGTAATCTAGACCAGGGCTGAGTTCATTTCCTAGATCTGAAGAAGAGCTCTGTGTAAGCTCGAAAGCTTGTCTCTCTCACCAACAGAAATTGGCCCAATAAAAGATAGTACCACATCCATGTTATCTTTCAGTTATCACTCCATTCAGGCATACCTCTGATGAGAAAGACATAAATGCTACAAGACAAACTGGTTTTGTTTACAAACTCATTTAGAGAATAGCTGTAAGAAAAATACCAAGATGCAGAATTTGAAATTGAGATGACACAATTGTACAGTGAAATACAGAAAATATTCAAACTTTAACTCTGTAGGATAAGACAAGACCCTTTTCATGGTCTCATTGCTCCATTCCTATAAAATGAGCTTCTTTTAAAATGTGGCAGCATCAGAAGAGACCGCTGTTTGTTCAGATCATAATTAGCTGCTTCCGTCTTGTACAGTTACAGCAATTTGTAGAGTTCTGTTTTGTAGAGAACATCAACCTGAAAATAACATTTACAGATTGTACAAATTTAAAACATTTTTGTTGATTCCAGTGATGCCAGATGTGGAAAATAGGAGCTCTCATGTTCATTCTTATCTTCTTGTTTTGCTTTGACTGCAGAATTATCTCTAGCCACTAAATTATGTTCTGTTAAATCCTAATTCGTCTGTCTGTCTAATCTGTCTATCCATTCCCTATTTGTATTTATGAAACACTAAACAGTAACACTAAGGACTTTGAGCAGGTATAGTGCTCAGGAATCAGCTCCCTTCATACATGGCAGCAAATCTGCAAGTAGAGAAGACAAGGAAACCAATAAGCATTTACGAAGGATAGTTACAGGCAGGAAATGCAGTGTGAAGAAAGGAAATCAATGTTGTTTGCAGCCTCCGTGTAAGTGAGATAATATTCCCCATGTCTTTTTGTCAGAGATATATTGCTCAGAAAGAAAATTAAAAGGAACTAGAGTTAAATTGCAGTTGTTTCTTAAGTAGAGTTCAGGAGAACAGACCTATGAAATTAAGTTAAAAGTAGGAGCATTTCAAAGTCCATATTGGGGAGAAAACTGTATCTTGCCTCATTAGCAGCCTGAGAAGTTAAAGGGAGCATCAGAGGATGAGTTAGAGTGAATCTGATTCTAGGTAAGGAACTTTAAATCAGTTTGGAGGAGTTGTTTTTTTTCCTCGAGCAGGGAATTTACAGTGACATGTTTTTGTAATGTCATACTGCGGTGAGTGTATTTTTCACAGAACTGAAATGTGGTGGGTAAAGGTCAGAATAGCACAAGTATTAGAGCTAATGGAAAAGGATGTGTTCTTCAGAGCTGTAGCATTGCCAGGTTTTCAGCTGCATTGCCTTTTATGGCTTGGCTGCTCCACATTCAAGTGTACTCTATAGGTGGGACTGTGACAGTCTGACTTGGACATTGTTACATAATTAAAAGTATTACTGACATTGGGTCTCCCTTTTTTCCCTCTCTACTAATAAAATTCGAAGTTAAAGATAAATGATGTCCAGCACTGCTTTGCTTAGCTGCAGATGAGCACCCAGGCCAAAGGAGAGATTTGGGATTATAAATTGTGGTATTTAGAATCCTCAGACTGGTCTTTATTCTTTCCCTCACCTGAAAGTTAACATGAGTTTGTGGCGAATAGATACTATTAGGTGTTCGATGAGAATGATGATAAAGGTCTTTGGGGTCTTATTTTAAACCCCATATGGGAAATGGCCGGATTGTTTGGTGGCATCAGAAAGGCACAAAGGAAGTGCCATTTTGAATCAAGCCAGTGATCAGTAGAATCCAGTATCCTGTCTCTCAGACAGTGGCCAGGACCAACTGCTTCAGAAGAAGGTGCAGGAAACCCTGTAGTGACCACTTGTGGATTCATCTGTTTAGAGGGGAAGTTTCTTCCTAACCCCATCATTAGTGGCTGGCTCTGACTGTGAAGCATGAGGTTTTATCCTTTCTAACGTAACTGTATGTGTTGTCATTTTGCATAAAATAGGTATAAGGCCTGACCCTGCATGGTGCCGAGCACCCACAACTTTCACTGAAGCTCATGTTGGGAAATGCTAAGCACCTGCCAGGATCAGGCCTGTTCTTGCTGAGATTTCCTTGTAAAATTATGTCTGACTTTTCATTAATATAAAATCTTAATTCCCATATGGAAATAATGATGCAACGTAAAGGCATGTCTGTGCCTGTTAGTGGATTATTGTTGGATTATATTTTTATCAAGGGGCTATTCCAGGAGGCAGTGTGTGATAGTGGTTGAGCAGGGGACTGCAAATCAGGATTCTTGTATTCTATTTTCAGCTGTGCCACTGAATCTGTGTGTGTCTCTGAGCAAGCCACTTAACTTCCATGTGCTTCACTTTCCTCATGTGTAAAAAGAGGATATGCCCATCTTTGTCAAGCACATTAGAGCCTCCAATAAAGAGCAGTCTATAAGTGCTAAGAGCTGTTGTTTAAAATTGACTCTAATTAAGGAGAATTTCAAGCAAGCATCTCTTAATAAGACTATAGTATGATATGAAGAATACAACTTTACACTCTACTATTCCTGTAAGGAGATTAATCTGTTTTTAACAAGGTATGTTGCTTAATAGGTTGTTTAATAGACATTTCACTTGTCAAAATTTCTATAGCAACTTAATGTAGACAAGAAAATATATGAAAAATAAGGTTTCTGCAGGAATCCAAAGTAATTGACACGTCTCAAAACAGAATAGAAGAGGACAGCTGGGTCCCACACACACGTAAGCCTGTAACAGGGGGAAAGAAGAACATGCTCATATTGTGTGTGAATGAAAATCAGTTAATGAAGGACCAGTATCAATGCTAGAATGTGCCAATCAAGGAGGATGATTCTGTATCATGAAGATGGCTGGGCAAGTGTCACATGGAGAAAAATTTTAATTCAAAGACAGTGTTCAATTGGTATTTAAAGAGATCTTGTTCAGATGGGAGTAGTGTGGGGATGGTTGCATGGGAAACCAATAATTAAGGGTTACAGTGAACAATGCGAGGTGGAATTGCTAAAGGGATTAATTATACCTTGTCTACAAAACCTCTTTAATTGTTGCCGATGTAAATCTGTGGCCTGCTGAGAGATAAAATAGCTATCGTACACCTGTATGGCTTGGTAGAGTCCCTGAATAGATGCAAGATTTTTTTTTGTTTTTCTATATCTCCTCTAATTTAATTGTTTGTTGATTCTTTTGTTTATAATATTTTGGCTTTTTTTTCAACAGCACTTTCATGATGGCAGAAAGGCACAACAATACATTGAAACTTCCTGGAAACAGCTTGAAGCAGTAAGTAGAAACATCTTCAGAAGTGATGTTATAGCTATATTGACACTGTCTTCATAGGGATATTTCTAAACATTGTGTTTAAAAAGAGATTATGATATGGTTTGAGGAGAGCATCTGAAATCCAAAAGAACATGATTTGAAAACTTGTCTCTAAAGGATACTGAAAGCTATAAAATAGTGCCCTTTAAGAGCCATCCATATATCAGAATCTGGACCTCAGTAATAGATGTGACACAATGAGGGAAGGTGAGAAACTGTCAGGAGGGGACTGTGTAAGAAAAGGTGAGTGTTACCCATGGATACTCAGCTTATGCTTATATATGGAGATATACCTATCTCATAGAGCTGGAAGGGACCCTGAAAGGTCATTGAGTCCAGCCCCCTGCCTTCACTAGCAGGACCAAGTACTGATTTTGCCCCAGATCCCTAAGTGGCCCCCTCAGGGATTGAACTCACAACCCTGGGTTTAGCAGGCCAATGCTCAAACCACTGAGCTAGCCCTCCCACTATGCATGTGCACACCTTAGTGGTTCAGTCATATGTGCACACACACAAAATAACAAAGATAGTATTGGCTCATTTATTGTGGCCTTCACAGAAGCGAGGGATTTAAATGCAGAGAGGATAGTGATTTGGCAGATCAGAGCAAAAAGGTGTTCCATGTGTAGGGGGAATATGGAAAGAGGCTCAGAGACTAATGGGATATCAAGACTGGCTTTACCATCAGAGCCAATCTGTCTGAAGATCAGAGCAAAGATTTTTCTTTCCAATAACTTTGACGCTTTTGCAGTTTAGCGTGGAAATTTATGCAGATGTAAATGAGCTGTTCTCAAAAACTCTTGACATCGATTACAGAAAATGAAGTTAGCGAGTGTTGCTTACTAGGTTGAATTTCAAATCATGTTTCTCTCCAGTATCTGATGGGCTCATTTTTCCCTTTCAGAGTAAAAGGCGGTTTGAACGTGATTGCAAGGAAGCCGATAGAGCACAGCAGTATTTTGAGAAAATGGATGCTGACATCAACGTTACGAAAGCAGATGTTGAAAAGGTAAGCCAGGTGCCAAGGCACTCCATTTGGAAATACATATGTTAGAATGGTCGCTCCTTCAGTCCCACTGATAACACACGTCCTCCAGAATTGACCATCTTAACTGTATGCAATGTTGTTGTAGCCGTGTCGGTCCCAGGATGTTAGAGAAACAAGGTTCGAAAGCTTGTCTTGCTCACCAACAGACGTTGGTTCAATAAAGATATTACTTGTCTTGACACCTTGTCATCTTAACTGTGTCAGTCCATAGCTTGGCCTAAACAAGGGATTCTCCGTAGTGGGACACCTCCATTTGCCCAGAAAAGTGGGGGCTCCATTCTCAGCTGATGTAATGGGCACAGCTCCATTAAAGTCAATGGGGTTAACTCAGTTTATATCCGATGAGGATCTTGCCCCAACTCAAAATCCGTCCTCACTGGCTAACAGCCCAGGATCTGGGCTCCACTCAGAAACGCCTAACTCCCAGGCAGCAGTGTAGCTCACCTGGGCTTCCACCTCTAGGACAACTAGATAAAGATTTGGACTTCACTATTATTAAATATTGCTATTGCAGCAGCAAAGCCAAGGATGGCTATCCCATTGTGATAGGTATGCTATGAACACCTGCAAAGGCACAAGCCCGACCCTGAAAATTGACATGGACTAATGGTGGAGGCGATACGTGGTGTGCTAATCTTAGCTGCCCATCAAAAGTAATCTGACCCATAGAGGCTGAGTGTTGAGGATTTCCCAATGGCAAGTGCATGTGCAAACTCTGCTAGTGCTTGGGACTGAAAGCACGGTACTGTAAGCATCAAAGGATCAGGGTCCAGAATATTTTTCAGGTCCCCTAAATGATTTGTTCAAATGCAAACCAGTATAACTGTGGACTTTCCCCCTTTTTAAAATAGAAATAATCAGCAGAATGGCTGTTAAAGCACACTATTAATTAAGAGCCAAATTCTGTGCCTTACTCTGCACATGGGCCCATTGAAATCCATAGTTAAAGGCCCAATTCTGCTATCCTTTCTACTCACCATGAGCAAGGGTGGCAGAATCAGAGTTATAGTGAGTTTCCAAGGACAACTGGTGCCTACGACAATCACGTTGACTGTTGCTGTGTGATCCAGGTAGAACACGACTCTCTGCTTTCCATGCTGCTGATGGTAGCAGAGATGTCCTAACATCCCACTGGTTATAGTGCAGTGTTAGTGCATGCCTGCATCCCAGGAAAGACAGGGTGGTTAGTCATGATACACACAGACTTGCTGTATAGCAGAAAAGGTTTTCATATTGTAAAGTACCCTTATAGGTCTTGCTTGGCACCGATGGCATGTACATTACCTTTTAGACTTGACATTGGTTAGCACCACTTCATCCAGATAGATGCCTCATAGTATGTATTATTTTGGGGGGGCTTTTTCTGGTTTATTAGTGCCATCCAATGTAGGGAATTCTTCTTTTCTTTTTAGATGTATCAATGATCTTAATGCACTAAAGATGTTTAATACATGATGTTCTAATGCAGTTATCCATATTTCCTACCTTGCTTGCTTAATGAGAAGCATTGTGATATCAGCCACATGAATGCTCTAAAATGATATCTTTTGTTGTTGTTGTCAGTGTACTAAGATAGGGCCTGATCCTTCAACCCTCACCCATATTAGAGACAATGGGATGTCTTAGGTGAGTCGGGGTAGTAGAATTGGGCTAATATTTAGGGCCAACCCTGTCTGTAACATCAGGGTTATTATCCCATAGAGTACATTATAATGCATTTAGTCTAAAGCCCACGTAAAATTTGGAATCCAGTGTGGTATGCCAATGATTAGCAACATGCTGCTGGATCACAGTTGCCATCAAGTTGTAACATTATTTGTGGCTTTTGCATGTTGGCCCCTGTTCAGCAAAGCACTTAAATAGATGCTGAACTTTAAATGTATATCAGTGTTTTGCAATCAGGGCCTGAAACATGAAGTCGTCCCTTAGCCAAGTTCAGAATTGTACATGCAGGAGGATATAGTATGTTTATACATCTAGTTCAGTGATGCTGCTGTAATTTAAGAAAGCTACATGGAGGAAGCTGACTTATCTAAATCACTTCTATTCTTGATGGAGCTGTACATCTGTTTGGAAGATGCAGAAGTATGAGAGTTTTTTTTTTTAGATTGCTAAAATTAGTAAGGGCAATTTTGTCTTGCATGGCAGAATTTAGTCCATGTGGGCCAAAAATAACCAGCATTTTGAAGCAAGCCAATATGTAGTTGATTTAAAACCTAATGTCCTGGCTTCCAGAGGTGGAGGGCACCCATAGAAGTCAGCACCTCTGGAAAATCAGGCCACAAATGGTGTATTGTCACTGTACTCTTAGCAGAGAAAAGGTTTTTGTCCCCTCCTGCATGAAGTTAAAACTGTAGTGTTAGAGGCATGTTTTCTGCTTAGCCCTCAAGCAATTAAATCTGTGTGTTTACTAGGGATTTCTTAAAGCTGTTAAATTTCAGGTGAGTATTGATTTATACCCCGGCCCCCAGAGCGCTGCGCGCGTGATGGCATGGCTCCAGGGGAGGGGGGAAGGCGGGGGAGGGGCCGATGGCTTGCTGCGCTCGGCGCTCCGGCCTGGGAGCGCGGACCCCGCGGCTTGCCGCGCTGGAAGAGTGGGGCCATTTGGCAGGGTGTGCCTGGGCACACCCCGTGCGCATGCCTATGCTTCTGCCCCCTGCCCCCGCGGGAGGCTGGGGGGGGGGGCGGGGGAGAAGAGTGGGCCGGGCCAGGCAGGATTTTTAATGGCACGCTGCTCCAGCAGGCAGCAGTGTGCCATTAAAAATCGGCTCGCGTGCCGTCTTTGGCACGCGTGCCATAGGTTGCCGACCCCTGTCCTAGCATGTCAAAACTGTAATGCTTCATGCACATTCTGTGCTAGAAAGAGATTCTCTCTGCTTTATCTATTAAAAATAAATCCTAGAATTCATTTTCTAGTTATAAAATTAGGACCTCTTCCCCCTCTCCCCCAAGATTTTATGCAAGGCTGAGATTGAGCCCAGACATGACCTTGTTATCTAAGCATGGGGTTAGGAAACAGTTACTCCTGAGTTCTAATCCCAGCTCTAACAGTTATTTCCTCTCTGGGACCATAACTAAGTCACATATCAATGATGCATAAGCTAATGTTAGGCAATTTCTGGAAGGCAAACTTTATTTTCCTCCTCTGTAAAATGAAGAGGGAAATGGGGGAGAAAGGAGGGAGAGGTTTGCCCTCTAGAATTTGGCCACCATATTATCACGTTTTGTAAATTAAACGTATTGCAAAAGGAGGCAGAGTGCAATCAATAGATGTATTTGAAGGCTATAAATAAATAAATAGAAAGCCAGGATCTATTGCTTGGGGTGACAATGAGTGTCCAGTGCTCCCTGCAGAAAGCATCCATGAAGTCCCCAGTTATGCTGTCAGCAGCATGGTAGATGTAGAAGGAAGGGGTTATCCAAACGAATTGAATGTGCAATAATATTGCTAAACAGAGAGGACAGTGTTTTCTAAGAGCATGTGTTAAACTGGATTCATCCATGTCAGGCTGTGAATAATGGCCTTTCTTTGCTTCACCCTGCCCATGTGACTGGGTCTGCCCTTACGTAACTCCTTAGTGCAAAATAGGATATTGTTTAACGAAGAACTGCAGTTGGGGGTAGCTTTAGCTTACTTGTGGCAGAGAGATACAAAAACTGTTCAGTCTCAAGTGATGCAATATGATAATTTTCTGCCCTTCTTTTATTATGGTGTCTCTCTAATTTCGCTTGCCTCTCATAACTTGGCTGCCACAGTTTCACTCCCCAAAACTTTCTGGCCAGGAAAGCAGACAATCTGGCTTCATTTGGTGCCAGTGCTGTTCAGTCTGCTGGCTGAAAAAGGTGCTCCCAAGCAACGTGATTAGTTGCCCTCATTTCTGGGGCTCGAGATAAACACCTCTGCTGCGTTAGCCTGTACCTGCTAACATGAGGAGACAGTACGGGCTATTTTTGCATCAGCCTTTGCAGAGAAATGGAATTAAAATTCTGCAGTGCATCACAATTACATTTGCAAGTTGTTGTTGTTTTTTAAGCTGTGATTCACGGATGCACCCTGTGATTTGAGAACAAGAGGAGGCTATGGAAAGCTCTGCATCTCTGATCAGCCCCCACCTCTTAATCCTTCGATAATAACCAGCTTTGACAAATGCAGTAGGAAATCCTGCAGTAGGGTGACTAGTGATCAACACCTAGAAGGACTCTGCAAACCTTATTTGGGGGTGGGGTAGGGTGATGGTGGAACTGGAGCATGCCTTTTAGATAGGCTCTTCCTAGAGCTGCAATCAGAGCTTGCAGCTGATGTTAGGCCCTCTAATGAACAGCGTCTCAAGTGGCTGCTTTGCTTCAGTTGTGTTTAAAGTCAGACTTCTCGGGAACTAATGGAAGGACAAGAAGCAGGATCAATTGACTGCAAAGTGTAAACGTTACAGACCAAACTGTGCCCAGTATGCCTTGATCCCCTTGGAGGTAGTGCTGAGATGCACCATTCCAATGTGTTAGCCTTTTTATTAAGGCGTGGAGAGTTTGTACTTTACAACTAAATTATTTGTATTTAAACACTACATCATACAGTTACGAGAGAATCTGTAAGAGCCACAGTCTGTTCTGTCCCCTGCAGTCCACAACCCACCTTTCTAAAAGAAGGATGATCTTTGGTCTCTGAAACCACATCCTTATGCAACAATGATAGCTACTCAGTGCACCCAAGAGGAGCTCCAGGAAGCATTGTGCCTCAGAGAGGCTCAAGTGATTGCCAATGCACAAGGGAAGCATCCTCACTGTGCCACTTAAGGGGGGGAAGCATCTGCTGGCCTCTGCATCAGGGCAGCTCTGCCAGCTGGTGCAGGGGTCAGGTGGCAGGGTGAGAGCTTTATTCATTTCCTGCCCCTGTTTTGTTGGCAGTAGCAGGGACCACTCCCTGTGGTCAGGAGATCTGCAGTTGTGGCCAGCTTCTGCACATG